GGATTCGAGGAGGATTCGAGGAGGACGCGCCTGCAGGAGTGTGCGAATTCCCTTGGGAGGGACAGGAGAGGTGAACGGTGGTCTCTCGGGAAACCGATCCGGTCCCTTGGGGACTAAATTCCAGCTGGCAATGAACAAGGAATCGGCTGATCGGCGAGAGGAGACGCGTCTAAGGCCAGGGTCTGCTAGGCTAGCCTTACTGACGAGTCCCGCTAGCAGACCCGGGGACGAAACGCTTTGTAAAAATAGACACTTCGATGCCGCGGTGCGCCTCGGGATACCTCGGCGAACTGGAACACGAACGATTCGGTTCGGTTCGCCGATTCCTCGTGGAACACGCCTGATTTATCGGCGGGAGGAACGAGGGTTTCACGCTTTTGACTAATCGTTTACCATTTCGACTACTCGACCGATTCTCGCGGGAAATGGGGGTTTTCCTTGAAGATGGAACGTTCATTTGGACTCGTTTCTTAGGAATACGGTCGTTTTGTAATGGAACGTATGGTTGTTGCGCAGTGTTGTTCGAACAGTTTCGATAGACTCTCGTTATCGAAGGTGATCCTGTGGATGCTCGGTCTTGTAAGTTGACCTTTCGATTCCATTTCTCTTCGAGTGGATTCTCGTTTGATCGTGTTCGATCTTTCAAATTGCCAACTTACTGGATTCTCAGTTTTTCTAATACTCGGATGGTCGGATTTGTCTTATCCTTCGTCACTGTTGAGAACATAATTGTCTACGAACGAAACATCCTTCCCGACGTCGCAGTGCCATTTTTCGCCTGTTTCTTAATATTTCTGTTAGAAACAAGCAACACGATTCTCTATCTGCTAGACGAACTAAATGATTCTACTGCGACTATCTCCCACGTGCGTCGGGACACGTCAGGACGAAAGATTGCGCAACGTTGCGTCCGTCGTTACTCCCGTGGAACGAGTGGATCGCGCAGTCGCGCAGCCTGCGTAGAAACGTACGATTCCCTCTGATCCTTCTTTAGACAGGAGATAGGAAAATTCTTTTGTTACTGTGAAACGATCGTCTTGAAACGATGGTCGAACCGATAATCGAACCGACAATCGAATACAGCAAAATTTCCTATAAATTCGTTACAATCGAAGCAGCGATTATTTTGTAACAACAGAAGAACCATCTATAACGATCATTGGGAGATCACCTGACGGCAAACCGAGGAATTCGACCGATCGATTAGCTTTCATTCGCCTTACCTGACTTCCTGTTGGTTCTACCTCCTAATTTCCGATATCTCTTCGATCACTGATTCACTTACAATTCGATTACACGTGACCAACGAAAACTGTTATTACGTTATCCGCTTCTCTGCCGTTCGCTAGACATCGAGTCATCTCCCGATACGCTGGAGAACGAATCTTCCTCGTTGCTCGTATGACGTCCCGAATGCCAACATTTCGTCAACGCGCGCCGGCGAAAATTCCCGGCGGCGCGTTCTTCGTTAAAGAGAGGCGGGAGGACGGGGATACCGTCGGCGAGCACGTGCGCGCGGACGTCGCGACGCTATTTCGGGCGGGCCAGTAGCGGGGGCGTCGCTTCGTTTCAGGCTTCGCCGCTTTATATTCGACCTCGCCGCCGCGATCTCTCAGGGCCGTACACCCACGGCACTGTCCGGCCACGTTTGTTTCCTGTTCGCGATCCGCGCACTGCCGAGACTCCGGTCGCACGAGCGTCGGACGACGATTTTGACGGTCGTTAACACGTTAAGTGCCCAGCCCGACTTGCTCGTCGTTCCGTTCAGGCCCAGACGAGCTGAAATATCGGCTTGAGGACCGGAGTTTTCTCAATGTTATAATAATTCCCGAATATTAGGTTCAAAGGTGGCAAGGAATTTAACACAAAAAGTCAGCACCTGCGATGAATGTAAAAGCAAACACACCTCTGTTTACCCTGTTCTAATAAACTACATTAACTTTTTTTAAATATTATATTCTTTTCTTTTCAAGCCTTGAGTGAACAAAAACCGATGTCGCCTAAGCAAAATATTTAGTCTCACATCAGTGCGTAAGGATCGACACGCGCGGTCGTGTAATATGAACCTGAAGTCCGCATGGACCGGCCGCGCCACGAAAATCTTAAACGTTTCCCCATAGAGTTTGTTTTTTGTAGCAAAGAAAAGTAGGAATAATTATGAACCGTTCGGCGTTGCAACGTTTGCGTTGCACTATTATCAACTTAGTTGCCTTATTAAATATTTTTATTTCACATCGGTTGTCTTGTATGTTACGATCGTTTTTTAGCCATTCAGAAGCGTCAGTCACCAGTGACTGACATGGCGCTTGACGTGTTAAGTAACCCTTTGCGTCGAATGTCGCAATGGCGAGTTTCGCCTTAGGCATTTGATTATTCAGGACTTCGAATCGATCGGATTTCTAATTGCTCGTATTTCGAATTGATTATCTTTCTAATCGTTTACACTTGAAATCTATTGCACTCGAAATTGATCGTATTTCAGATTAATTATATTTCTACTGGGTTACACTTCGAATCAATCACATTCCAAATAAAATATTCATACGTCTTTCATTTTCTCGAATATTGGAAACTTTAACACTAGAACTACCGAGCATTTAATACGATTAATATGCAATTCCTATAAAAATGGTGACGATAGATTATTTTCAGTTTCTTCGGGCATTCATTACAGTACTCGAATGAAACTATTTATTTTCATAATCATTTCGAATATTCAATGCTTCGAAGATATCGATAATTGCGAAACAGGAAAACTGAAACTGTTAATGTGGAATTCAGTTTCCTATGGAAAGATCTTGAAGTTTAACCCTTAGTACTCCAGATGGTTTTGTAATCTATTAGCAACTGCGACTAATTTTTATAGTATCCCCAGCGAAAATGGAAAATACTATACATTTCTCAGATCTTTTATCTTCCTTCTTAGTGCAGAATTTGGATGTGTGAATGGAATAATTGTAAGGTAGTTTCTGTAAGATTCATTGAAACATCTAATATTATTCCTAGTGCAATATCGGAGCCTACAGAGTTCAAAGGGTTAAAAGATTCTGGTCTATAAAGGATCAGCATATTCGGTACAGACGAAATCTGGTTCGCGAAGAAAGAGAATTCCATTTCATCGAAGTTCCAAAGGGAGTCCGTCCGAAAAAAGTTCATTGATCGTCGAAAAGCGACGCAATATTTTCGTGCGCCGTGAGCCGGCCATTGTTGCAAAATGGTCTCTCGAGCGTCGTCCGGGCTCTCGATAAATATTAGGTCTTCCCGAGAAACGGTCCTTCTGTTCTCCGCGCTGGAATCCTTCGTAGAGGCGCTGATGGATCTCTTGTAAACTCGGCCGGAATTGTGTCGATCGGTGATCTATTTATTGACGTAGCTGGTTAATTGCGGCTCCTCGACGTGTTTCGTTGAGCCTCTCCCGCGTTGCTCGCGTTAACATCCGTGCCCTTATTGTTACACTTCGAACTCGTCCTTCGCGCTTCATTGTTCTCGCGAGGAGAAAAAGGAACACGGTGAAAACAATTTGCGAGAGTAGATTTCAATGGTGACGAACGTGTCGCGTAACGAAATGTAAATTCGTGGTATCATCGAATTACAGTGGCCATTACTGGAACGAAATCGTGTCGTTAGGGTGAGTTCCCATAGTACTGAATATTGTTTCTTAAACAATAATAAACGAATAATGGACGAATATTGAACTTGAACATTATGTAATACTTAAGTAATTAATTTTGTAGCACATGTTACCATTTTGACTGGTCATATTTAAAACATTGTAACGATTCATTGTTTATTACCGTTATCGAAGTCTTCGTTTCCCATATTTGTATCCGAAATGAACGCATTAGCTACGGTTCGCTCGGAAATCGTTTTACTGCCCGTTTCACCGTCAGATCATCCCCGAAATGTTTTTTTTTTACGTTTCTATGTTACAGGACAAAGTTTGGGTTACGGTTTCGTCAACTATCACCGGCCTGAGGATGCCGAGAAGGCTATCAACACGCTCAATGGTCTTCGCCTGCAGAATAAAACGATCAAGGTACATATGTTCTCCTTTCTCGTTCGTCGTTCACCGTTTATCGCCGAGTGAAATGCAGCTGAGGCAAGAATTTCCATGAAAGATTCCGCGAAAGAAGGAAACTCAAGGGAGAGTAGCTCGTGAAAGTTTTACACTGAGATTTCCTCGGAAATTCACGGTAATTCGTCTGCACATTGAAATCCGTTCTTTTAGAAATTTCTATGGAACATCCTCGCGGAGATTCGCAACGGTTTTCTCGGAAGCTTTCACGGAGAAGTGTGTCATGAAAGTTTGGGAAAGTTTGTCACGGAAATTGCTCGAAGTATGTCACCGAAATTCAGGAAAATTCGTCGCGGAAATTCAGGGAAACGTGTGATAAAGATTCAGGAAAATTTCTCACAAAAATTGCTCGAAGTATGTGACCGAAATTCAGGAAAATTCGTCGCGGAAATTTAGGAAAACGTGTCATGAAAGTTTAGGAAAATTTGTCACGGAAATTGTTCGAAGTATGTGACCGAAATTCAGGGAAATTCGTCGCAGAAATTCAGGAAAACGTGTGATAAAGATTCAGAAAAATTTGTCACAAAAATTGCTCGAAGTATATGACCGAAATTCAGGAAAATTCGTCGCGGAAATTCAGGGAAACGTGTGACAAAGATTAAGGAAAATTCGTCACGGAGATGCAGAGATACTCGTTTCGGTAAACGAGAAAAGCGATACCATGGAAATTCGGGGAAACTCGTCTGAGAGAATTCCGGAAAAATTCTCGCGGCCAGAACACTGGCAGACGATTCGAAAAACGCAATCGGTTGCGCAACGTTGCACGGCTCGTTACGCGGCCCAGAGACATTTTATTCGACGCGGACGATTTCCGAAATGTTCGAACATCGCACGGGCGATGTCGCAATAATAGAAACAGCTTGGCGCGGTGTCAGATGTTTCATCGAGTGCGCGAGTTACGCGCGACAGTTATCGCGCGTTCGCCCCGCGAGAAAAGAAAGTGTCGACCCAGAAGTCGCGTGTCGCCGCGTCCGAGCGACAATTACTGCCAATGAGAATCGAACTCGATAATTCACGCGTTACTTAGCGGGACGCTGGCTAACGTGTTTTACTTGTCGTGTCTATTTTTAGCGCGGATCGTTGTTCGCCGTCCGATTACTATCGATTATTACTACTTGCGACGTACTACGACCGCGAGTTGTCTCACCTTGCTCGTTCGCCTGAAAGGGAAAGATTAAAAACTTAACGAAGTTGTACGCGAACAGATCTAATTAACTGTCCTACCAATGAATTTTGGAATATTCCATAAGTACAGTTCAAATGTTTGATCTGTGAATCGTTAATTTTAATCGTTTCAGTGTTAGACAATTGAACCTAATTTTTAATTTTCTAATTATTTTCTAATTCATAATATTCTCGTTCCTGATTTCTTTCTTTCGAAGTAGAAGAGAGTTTTCTTAATGTGGAATAAGTAAAGAAAATTAGAACTGGGGAATTAGAAAATTAGAAAATTGTGGAGTCGATACGAATTTCTTCGAAAACTCCGTTACACTGAAACGGTTATTATATAATTCGTGGCTGGAACACTGTTAATTCCCCAGTATTCCTAGTTCTGATCAACGCAGACAGTTAGTCGACTATAAGTTAGCTCTGCTCGTACCATTAGCAGACGCGAACGATAACCACTAGTTTCCCCGGTGATCGTCCATTATTTCCATTTGAAATGTGTACACACGGTATTATCAATCCGTATCCCGCTTATCGTCGTTTCAAATAAATACGAAGATTATTATGCGGCCGTCTATTACCGGCCATTTCCACTAGAAATAAACCCAGACAGAATTGCTCGTTCGTCTATTACCGACTAGCCCGACACTTGAAATAAATGCCAGCGCGTTGTTATTGACTATTTCCACTCGTGTTGGTCGTCCGGCGATCGCTGCCAGTGTCCATTCGAAACTCGGGAACAGTTTCAACCCCCTGTCGCGTGACATCGGACTCGCGATGAAAATTTTCAACTGAATTCGAGAGATCTAAACGTTGTTCACCGATTCTCAATCGTAAATTAAATACTACTTTTCTATTTTTCTTTTTCCTTCCGCTGCAAGTGGAATTTTTTATCGTTTTCTTTCGTATTCATCGGTGCAGCGTTATCAGAGCGAAACTGCAACGATACGAGATGCAACAGCGTAAAGTTGTAGCGCCGACAAAATGTCGTTCGCCTACGTCGGACCTTATCAGCGTGTCTATTGTCACCGGGTGTCTCTGTTCGCGACGCGACAAGCGTTATCTGTCTGCCATCGATATATCTCCCTCGAAATTCGTATCGAATCATGACAAGCAAATATAACGGCCCATTGTCGGTGCTGCTATCCGTGAATGGCAACCGCTCGGATCGATAATGGAACACGTTCGATTCTACAATTTTTCAGATCAATCGAAACTGACTGAAACTTTCACTGAATAATACATTCAGGTGTAATGTAATGTAAATGTAGCACTGTTATTCCATTGCACTGTGACACTAATAATACGGAAATGATCGTTTCGATCGTTGTTAGCCTAGGCGCGTGTCATAGCCGAAGCTTTCAGGACTTGAGTCACAACTAAAGCTTTCGAGACTCGAGTCATAACGAAAGCTTTCAAAACTCGAGTCATAACTAAAGCTTTCAGAACTCGAGTCATAACCAAAGCTTTCAGAACTCGAGTCATAACGAAAGTTTTCAGAACTCGAGTCATAACCAAAGCTTTCAGAACTCGAGACACAGTGAATGCTTTCAAAACTCGAGTCATAACTGAAGCTTTCAAAGCTTGATTCATAACGAAAGCTTTCAGAACTCGAGTCACGGCGAAAGCTCGAAGACTCTAGGGTCAGGGCTCGTTCTGACAACGCTGACGACGAACCGTTCTGTCGCAGGTATCGTACGCGAGACCGAGCAGCGAGGCGATCAAGGGCGCGAACCTTTACGTGAGCGGCCTGCCGAAGAACATGACGCAACAAGAGCTGGAGAACATGTTCAGCTCGTACGGCAGGATCATCACGTCGCGGATACTCTGCGACAACATCACCGGTAAGTTGCCGGGCCGTCCGATCCTTCTTCACCGATCACCGAGGACGACACGCGAACGTACCGTGTGACCACATAATTAGGGGTACCAGTGATATATATATACCAGGCCCTACACGAAAGAACGACCAAATGATCAGGGCTCGGGAAGTTCGCGCACACAATATGCTTCTCCGAACGTGTAACGGTTCTTCTTGATCATTCTCGAGAGGGAGGAAAAACGATGCTCCAGAGAGAAATGAAATCCAACGGAAACAAATAAAAGAGAAACCCAAGCCGTCGATGCGACTCCCGTGGTTACCATCGCGTGGTCGAGTAACAAAGGGATAAATGGAAACGAAAGAAGTGGCTTGAAAGTAGATCGGGACCGTGCGAGTCGGACACGCGTAATTCACACGCACACACACGACGCACACCGCGTATACCGTGCATCGCGAGCCTGAGTTCCGAGGAGAGAATCGCGACCGATCGAAGATCGGCGAACGAGAATGCGACGGTGAGCCTTGGGATCGTCCACTTGAACTTCCCTTCCATCTTTTAAACTTTCCTGTTTTTTATCTCTATTATCTCTTTGTTCGACTTATTTGTCTGGAGATGATCTCTCATTTTCATTCTTTCGTTCGGTCTTTGATTCTCTCCTTTTCATTCCTTCGTTCCCACATTTTTGATTCTCTTATTTTCACCGTGTTCCGGTTCTCCGTGCGTCTTGTTCCGCGGTGAACCTAACGATCTCCTAAATGCTAAATTCCAATTAAATGATCTGATTCTAATATTGGCCCAGCTCCATTAACCCTCTCGCACCGTCGCATTTCTCGTTCCCCGTGGTTTCGCGGCCGCTTCGCTTCGTTTCTCCCGCGGAACGCGGCTTCCCGTTGCGCTCGCTCGGCGAATTCGTTCGTCGGACAGTCGATTCGCGCGACTTTTTTCTTTTCGTTACGATCCGTTCCGAATTTCCCGCGGTTCTCGCACTCGCCGAAAACGCGCGCACGAACACTGCGGACTTTTCTTGTTTCGTTCGCTTTTTATCGCCGATCCACAGCGCGGTCCTCGATCCAAACACATTTCAGTTGCCATGTGTACTGTTTTTTTATTTTTCTTTCCGTTTTCTGTCCGTTTCTCTCTCTCTCACACACAGGACACGCACGCACACGAACACACAGACACACGCAGACACGCACACTCTCTTCCTCTCTGTGTTATTGGTTTTTTGTTTCATCCCCCTCGAGTATACGTTTGTTTCCCAGTTCGTGTTCATTGAATCTGAAATGACGATAAAGCGAAATTACCGATCCATTACGTAAGGAGATTACGAAGAGAGCGTGGTTTAATTAGCGTAAAAACTGATCGAATGAATCGCTCGCCCCTTATTCATCTCATGCGACCAGTTTCTTTTCAGTTCCCGCGTAGACCTTCGGCCCGCGGCGCAGGCCGTCCGCCATCTTTACGGCGGCGCTCGGCTGCCGCGCGTCGTTGCGTCGCTCCTTGGTTTTGTGCAGCGTTTAGCCTCTTCGAGGACGAGAAAACATTTCGAACAGAACGAAATGGAGAAGAATGTTAGTCCCGGCACATGTTCAACAGGAAATTTTTTCGAAAAAATTCGAAACAACAACGGTGAGCGCGTCGGAGAGACCGACGCGTTCACCTACGCGATCATTTCGCTCTTCTTCAACGCAATCGCGAATTAAGTTTGTTCGTTTTTCCGAATTTCACGCAGCCATTATACGATATAACCGCATAACTCTTTCCGATCGTTTTTCGTTTTTAACAAAAGCACATGTATCATTTCAATCGCGACAATCTCTGTGCATTCTTCCTCTTGGTCCATTTCGATCGAATCCAACCGAATTCGACACCCGAACGACGCGCAGATCTTAACGCGAGATCGTCGCTTTTCGGAAAAGAGAAACCAAACGAGAAATGAATACGAACAGAATCCAGCGATAAGGTTTGATCGTACAGTTTGAGACCAACGGTGAATGAGCGCACGCGTGCCAAAATCCTCGAAGAAGTTAAAACTCGATGGAAAAAGACGAAGGGAAGAAGAAAGATCTGATTTCTTCTTCCCCGTGTCGCGTGTACACCGTTCGTTCGTTGTCATATTTCTGCGTTCACGATTGTGTTTTTGCCGGGCCCCGCGTTTTTCTCCTCGTTTCGAGCCGTTTTTCTCCTCCGCGCCCTCCTTCGCCGCGACGAATCAGGGGCGAGCGACTCGCGTGATGCTGCAGCCAGTTTGAATTTTAACGTGATATGATTTTTTCCGTTTCTGTTTAGTACGACAGTTTGTGACCGGCGGCGGAGACATTATTCCCGGTACGTAACTCATACAACTCTTTTTTCTTTCACCCCTATTACGCCCGAGTCGTGACAAAAGCAGCCGTTGTTCCTTCTCTTTCTCTCTCTCACTTCTCGCTTCTTTTTTCTTTCGTAC